AGCCACATCAATGTTTATAGCAGCACAATTCACAATAGCTAAACTGTGGAACCAACCTAGATGCCCTTCAGTAGATGAATGAATTTAAAAAAGTGGCATATATACACAATGGAATATTACTCAGCAATAAAAGAGAATAAAATCATGGCATTTGCAGGTAAATAGATGGTGTTGGAGAAGATAATCCTAAGTAAAGTTAGTCAATCCAAAACAACAACAACAACAACAACAACAAAAACAAATGCTGAATGTTTTCTCTGGTATAAGGTGACTGACTCATAGTGGGGTAGGGAGGGGGAGCATGGGAGAAATAGACGAAATAGAAAAACTCTAGATAGGGCAGAGGCGTGGGAGGGGAAGGGAGAGGGCAAGGGGTTAGCAAGGATGGTGGAATGTGATGGACATCATTATCCAAAGTACGTGTATGAAGACATGAATTGGTGTGAACACACTTTATATACAACCAGAGATATGAAATATTGTGCTCTATATGTGTAACAAGAATTGTAATGCGTTCTGCTGTCATTTGTTTAAAATAATAATAATAATAATACCCTAAGCAACTTAGTGAGACCCTGTCTCAAAATAAACCATAAAATAAGGTGAGGGGGCTGGGTATGTAGATCAGTAAGTAGGTAAACGCTCCTGGGTTCAATCCCCGGTACAAACAACATCAACCACAAAACAAACAAAACATTTTGTAAACCTTTTTATGCAAATGAAACTATTACTTTGACTAGGGGAGGGAGATAGGGGAGTCTTGGGATGTTGTTTGGTCTCTGGGATAAACTTTAGAGAAGCCAATCCTGGGTCATTTGTGGTCTCTTACTTGCCAGACCAAACTCAAATGAGGATTTTTGAGAAGAGAGTTCTGGGATTCCCGAATGGTGTTCACCCCCCACTCAGCAACAGGGATGATGCTGTGGCACTGTGACTTTAAATGTGGCTGGCTCAGCAGGCATTACCACCTCCACTTGGGAAACCTGAGGATTTCTTCTTTTTAAAAATTGTCAAGAATTCCAGAGTTGGTTCCAGCTCAGGATCTGTGACCTGACAGAACGGAACAGCTCCAAAACCTGAAAATGTTTCCTCTCGCTTTGACCCAGGTGTCTACCACCTTCCATTGGGGCAACTTTCTACTTGCACAGCTTGGGAGTGATTTCCTGACTTCAGCGGCTCCCCAGTCATTTCTTTAGCTCAAGTCTGCCACCTGGTGGACAGTGCTCACTTTTTTATTTCTCAACTTTTAAAAAATGTTTTCACATTTAAAAAACCATCAGGTGCTTTTACAATCTGTGAGGTATCTGCATGGTATTATTATTTCCACTTTATAATGAGAAAATGAGAAGAGAGGAAGGAATTTGCAAGTACCCAGAGCTGCAATTAGTGTCTTTTTCCTCCATTCAGCAAAACCCCAAAATACTATCCTCTGAGTGTGCTGGGTTGGAGCCCAGTGTTAAGTCCCCGCTCAGCAACTGCCACCAAGTGAGGTGTCTGCACAGAATTGAATCTGACCACTGCTAGGCCCTCCGTCACACTGAACATTTGCACTTGCTGGAACTACTCTGTGCAATGAATGTGCTGATTCCAGAAGGGGAAGCCAAAGCTGGTACCTCATTTCAACTTTTGGGTTTTAAAGTTTGGTGGGTGTTGCAACTCCCCAAACCTGAGTAAGTTACATACAAAAATACAGGCTGCAGGATCTCCTTGGAATCCTTCGAATACCTCCTGTGACCACCTCGCCAACAGCCACACTTGGATTTGAAGTTCTTTGTGCTGCTTGGGTGCTCTCTACTGCAAGGACAGGGTGTCCTGAAAGGCACAGCATGGTCCTGGCTGAGCTGTGACCTGGCCAGTTCAACAGACTGACTGGTGTTGAGGTAGTGAAACTTTTAAGAAGTGGGGCCTACTGGATAGGAATTAGGTCACAGGGATGTGTGAAGGATGAATGAATTGACATTGGTCTTGCAGAATGGGTTGGATCTCATAAGGGTGAAGCAGACCTCATGAGTGCTGGTTCTTATAAATTGAGGCCATCCTACATGCTTGATCTCTTCTGTATGTACCGCTCACCACTCTATCATACATTTCCACCACTGTGATGCCATCTGCCATGAGATCCTCATCAGAGCTGAGCAGAAGTCAGCACCATGCTCTTGAATACCCAGAACTGTGAACTAAATAAACCTCTCTACTTTATAAGTTACACAGTCTCAGGTATTTTATGATAGCAAGGGAAAATGAATGAAGACAATGTGCATGTTGGGGGCAACCAGCAGAATGGGTGTTTACTCCAAACATGTTCTCTCAGTAGTTCTTAACCCAGGTGGGGTCTGTAAGAGAGGGCGTGTGCCAGAAAGGTGGTGGGCCTTTGGGGTTATCCAATGAAAAGAAACATTACCAGTGTAGGGGGGAACTGGATGCAGTGCAAGGATTGTCCCACTTAATTACAAGTGTCTCTTGAGTAGACATTTCTCTAAAGATGTACAAATGGGCACTAAGCATGTGAGAAGATACTCAGTATCACCAGTTATTAGGGAGATGCAAATCAAAATCACAAAATATCACTGCTTTCCATAAGGATGGCTATTATTTAAGACACCCCATTCCCACACATACACACCAGAAAACAACAAGTATTGGTGGGATATGGAGAAACTTGAACACTTGTGCAATGTAGGTAGGAATGTAAACTGGTATACCTTCTATGGAAACTAGTATGATTGTTCCTCAAAAGATGGTAAATATAGTTAAGCAATTTTATTTCTGGTGTTTACCTGCTCCCCAAATTTTAAACAGGGTCTAGGGGAGATATTTGTATACCTGTGTTCATAGCAACATTGTTCGTGATAGCCAAAGGGTGGAAGCAACCCATACATCTACGGACAAAGGATGATAAATTAAGTGTGGTCTCTACGTGCAATGGGACATTATTTACCCTGAATGGATGAATCTTAAGGACCTATGCAAAGTGAAAAAAAAAGTCAGTCACAAAAGGATAAATACTGTATGATTCTACATATATGAAGTCCCTAGAGTGGTCAAATCCATAGAAATGGAAAGCAGAGTGGGGGCTGTCAGGGGCAAATGAGAGGGGTAATGGGTCTAGAATAAAGGTATTTTAATACCCTGAAATGGTTACCATGGGCTGCGGGTGGAGCTCTGTAGTTGAGCACTGCCTAGCATCTGTGAGGCCCTGGGTTCCATCACCAGTATACCACACAGGCGCGCGCGCACACACACACCACACTCCAAGGTCGTGTTGGTAAATGTAGGTGTATATGGCTTCAAGAAAAGAGAAGAATTGTCTCATGTAAAGTGCTGTAGCATCCTTTTGGGAGATAAGCTAATCATCAAAAAATAGTCAAACATGCATGTATTTGGTTGTAAGTTTGTTCCTACTTTTGAGAGCCAAGTTCAATACCACATTTGTCCTACTCATCTAGGTTCTCCTTTGTCTCCATCAATAAGAAGACCTTCAACATCTGGTCGAGGTTAAGGAACACCTTCACGGAGGAGCCAGGGATGGCAATGGGATGAGAAGGGGTCTCGTTATTTAGCCAATGACATTCATTCCATGAAGCTCTCACTTATTTATAGTCACTGACATAGAAGCCACATCTCTGAATCCATAAAGTCACCTGAGGGGCAGCAACTTGGTATCTCTAGCTTTGAATGATCCTTTCAGGTTTTTGGAGGAAAGCTGCGGGGAAGAGTGTTCCTACCTTGTAGATGCAGGACTTGGCATTCAGGAAGAAGAGCTCAATGGTGGCGTTGTCCTTCAGGTAGGAGATGCTTTCTATGTAGAACCTGAAAGAGGAGAATGGCACATGAGCCACAGGGGGACCACAAACCTGTGGTTCTCTTGAGCTACTGGAGTTGAGGTGAGGACTGGAGATCCCAATGTTAATGGTATGGAGTGTTTTTCTCTGATTCTTTTTTGCGGGCAGTGTTTTTCATGTCTGTTCCTAGCAGGTCAGAATGGTCAGGCCTGAGGGTCTCCCCAGAGACTAACAATGGGCTCCCTTGCCATCCCTCCCTAGGAGCAGACCGAGTCTCCTTCCACTTTGCCTTCCTTACCCGCTTTCCAATTCTTCATGTTATTTGATTTCATTATATTTTTTTTGAGCTAATCACCATAGAGATGGATTTTTAAAAAGACAATGTCTTCTGCTTAATCAAACAAGGTGTGTGTTTCTCTTTGAAATACTCCTTATGTGCTTTCCCAAGGGTGGTGAAGTGTGACTTGATTTCTGCACACGCAGTGCACCGTGGTAAGTGTCCTTAGCACTGACATATTAATGCATATTAAGCCAAATGAGAATTGAATTCCTATCAGGATGGAGCCTATGGATTTGGTCAAGATTGAAACATGCTGACATTATTTAAGTTTACATTAAATGCGCCTTTGCACATGGACTTTGGAGTTTATTAAATTCTTTAATTAGATAATGTGCTTGTACTATCTAAAGATCGCATGCTGAGCATATAGGAGCTGGGATGGCGAATGATTTAAATGCAGTGTTATCAGAGGGAAAAAGAGTCTCAGTGGGTGCGACAACCCTCAGACTAGACTAGGAAGGCACTGGCTGCTTGGCTGTTAGAAACTGGATGGACCAAAAGAGGTAGGGGGTGAAGGAAATAGAACGAGAAGAACAACCTCTCTGGTCTTCTAGTACAGTGTTACAATTTGATGACAAGAATTCTAGGGAGGGGATCAAAGACCAGGAATCTAGTCCCTGCTTTGTATACTTAGGACAAGTCACACAATCTCTCTGGGCTTTTCTTCTCCAGGCTAAAAGAAGAGAGTGGGACTCAGTGGATGCTTCTCCATCTGAGTTGTCTCCTGGTTTTTAAATATTGGACACTAATACAAAGTAAGACCACAATAAAACGGCAGCAGCAAAACCAACAAGCCAACATCGTAAAAGGCAAACGAAACATATCCATAGGTTAGATCAAGACACGCCCTCCAGACAAAACCTCTTGTCTATACCCTAAGTGAACGCTGTCTTCTCTCAGTTTTCAAATGTGTGCGGGGGTTGCTGTGGTGAATACAGTATAGATTCACTTAAATGTGTGAGTGGATCTAGTGTAACTTCAGGTATTAGTAGATCCTCTCAGTCAGTAGACATGAGTAGCACGATTACCATCATGTCACGGATTGCAGAATTTCAGAGGATTACAAAATGATCCTCATGCTTGCAAAGCCCAGGAAGGAGAAGACTGACTGATCTTTGGCCACATCCCCTCTGGCCCCCAAAGCAGCTGTCTATGGGGCCATGAATATTAGAGTCTGCAATCGTCTCAGAGGAATCCTCAAATTGTACAACTTTCAGTTCTCGAAGAATGCAGAACTGAAATGCAGTGGCAAATTTTACATTTCAAAGCAAAATACGTTCAATTGGATTTAATTATCAAAAATAAACCTATATCCTTTACAAAGGGCTCTTGACAAGGGTAGTTAAAATAATAAATTAAGTGGAAAGAAAAAGGAAGGAAAGAGGAAGAACTCAGGGGAGGGATTAAAAACATATGGCACTGCTTTGAAAATTAAGTTATCACAGATCCTTGAAGTTTAGAGTCAAAATTATTATGGTCTACTCCCATAATAATGGTCTGCCTCACACTCTGCCCATGGTCTGGTCATCTTCTGATGACTAGGGTGCCTTCTCACTGGGCTGCCAACTCCTTCAGGGCTGGAGCCAAGTCTTGTTCATTTTTGTATCTCAAGCCCAAATACAGCACCTGGCACAAATATGGGCTTAGTAAGTGGCCGTCAATGAAGAGTTTCCCCCCCTCTCCATTCTCTCTTTGTTTGGAGTTCCTATTGGACAGTGAAAAGGGTGATGAAGATAATAAAGAGGGAGAAGAAATAACAAGTGACTTCCAAGTGGTCACCAGTCCCGAGTGAGGGGCTTTACACCCCAGATAGATAGTCATTACTCTACTGTCCCGGCTCTCACTGGTGACAGGGAAAGTGGTTACAACAGCTACTGACTTAACATGTCCTAATACCAGAACAGCAGCAGTAGCCTCCCGAGGCTGACAGCAACCTTACTATGATAATAGCATTGAGTTTAAATCTGTATGGTCTGAAACAACTTAATTTCCAAAGCAATTCCATTTATCCCATTTGTTTGACTTTGAGAATTCAGTCCTGATGACATTCTGTGCACACACTCCCAGCCTCAATTTTCTCTTGAATAGTAGTTTATGAAAACATGACACTTGTCTTCTCCTTTCAACTCTTAAACAATGGACAACTCAAACAAGGAGGCCCCGTTGATGTCTCTGGAGACAGCACTCACTTCCACCGACCTCCTGCCATCTGTTTTTGAGAGGCAGAGAAGGAAGAGGAAATAGCAAGCATATTCTGAGATATAGGAAAAAAAACCCTCCTCTTGACAGGAAGTGGAGAGAGCTTTCCTGTTAACCTTATCACCAAGACAACTGCCAGGAAAACCCTGGAAGCAACGGACCTGTCATACTCTTATTCAGTAACCTTGGACATTTAACTCATCCTGAACTTTCCATCTGCTCCGGGAAACTGTGGAGGGAAAAAAATAAAAACTTTGAGAAAAAAAGAAAAAAAAAATCTGAGATGTCTCCATTCACACACAAGCACGCACCAGGGAGAGGAGACTTCTGGGCACATGGGGAGCGTTCACGGTTTGGATGCAACGGTTTTTGTAAAAATGTGGTTCTTTTGCACACTTTCAGGAGAGCTTTGTCCTTGATCCCTGTCTTCGACAATAGGTGGCGATGTTGCACTACCTTTTCTTGGGCGGCCAGAGGCTTCCTCAAGAAGCAGGCTCACAAAGAAAAATCTGGGTCTTTGGGTAAACCCAGGGAATTGAAGGCTGGGTCTTAGATGCAGAGGGTCTGCATGCACGGTTTCAAGTCCGCTGTGGATTAGCCACATCTTTATGATGCTTTGACATCTGGGACCTTGCTGACTCTGGAGGGGCCACCCCTCAAAGGGTCTGCCACTTCTTATAGACAATAAGAACTGTGACTCTCATGCAACCCACCAAACCACAGTCCACACCTCCCACCAGCCCCATCGGCTTCACAGCCGGGGCCATTATTCACCTGCCCTGACTACTCCAGGGACATGCCACAATCAACTAGGGACAATCCCAGAGCCCACTGAACTAGTTCATACTAGCCAAACCTAAACCTGCTTACCCCCCTCACCTGTTCCTACCCACAGAAGCCTCAATAAAGCCTCTTACCCACATTTTCCTTTCTTTCCCTACCCCCAACTACAGGCCCTGGTACTTCCCCATGGGGCCCTGCGTGTCATGATGGAGCATGCCCCCCTCCTCTTGGGAGCTGTGACAAACTACTTTTTCAACATCAGTTACCTCCTGATCTGTGGTCCTCATTGTACCTGATAAACAACAAAACCTTCATCGTAATGTTGCTTCTTTGATGCATGTAGCAGCACCGAGCCTCGGGGCTTCCTTTTGAGTTGAAGGGAGCAACCCCCTCAACACCAGGGCAAACCCAGCACCATATGATCCCTGAGTCCCATGAGGCATGTCACACCCTTGCTAGCTCAGATGATCCCCGCCAGAGAATATTTGATCATAGTCTGATGCAGAGAGAAGTCCGTGTTCTTTGTCCACGGGTAAAAGCGTATTAAACACCCCACAGGCTCTGCAGCCTTGGGGAGTCTCAGCACCTTGTTCAACTCCTGGAAGCTTCTGATTGTGATGGCTGATCTCTGTCTAGCTAGCTGACATCAGCCAGGTCTCCCCTGCCGTCCCTGCTCCTCCCCTCCCCTCTCACAGCCACCCCTTGGCATTTGGGAATCATTGAATATTTACAGCAAGTGTTAATTAAATGGCCCAGTGATTTCATTGCATAATGAACACAAATGTCATATTTGGAATGCTAACTTGGGGTAGCAGAAAAGAGCAAATGAAAAGCTGTGAGCTTCTACAGCTGAGGACTCTTGGTGTTTAGACTTGCAATGGCCTTTAATATTAACTGGGACACTCAGCAAGTTCTAGTTAACAGCCTCTTCATTTTAGATCTATGCCATCACTATTTTTGGGAGGGACAGGAAGTAGCTACTGCTGTAGCTAGGAGGACATCAGCAAGGGGGACACTGACAAGTCAAATCCACAGTGCCTGTAAAATCCTCTCTTTCAGATAAAAGCTTCCTGGACTCTCCTCTCGGTCTTTCTTTGCTGTTGCTCACTTCGGTTTATTCCTTGCAAAATCAAAGTTGAGGAGGCAAATCTAATCTGTTAATTTTTCTACAAACAGTGTAGATGACCAGGACTTCAGGGATACTTGCTAAAGAGCACATGATTAAAGGAACAGCCCTGACATGTGGGAATTCATTCTGAGCACAAAACTTGTGCCTACCAAAAGTCATACACAGATTTCCTTGTGTGGGTACCTCTATTTTCCTTATTTTTTTTCTTTGTCTATTACTTAAGCTTGCCTGGTTAATATGAGAGTCATTTTCTCTCTTTTTGAGAATTGTCTTATAGCACTAAACAATGGCTATGGGTGAAGGTGTTCTTGGTCATGTATGGGCTGAGGTGACACAAGGGAGCAATGAGGCTGGAGAGCTGAGAAGAAGTCAGACTGGACAGGGCTTGCTAAGGCCATGCTTCCCCCCCACCCCAAGGATAATGGAAAGCCAGAAAAAAATTGTGAGCAAGGATCAGATGAGCATTCTAGAAAGATGTGCTGGGGAGACTAGGCAGGACCCAAGAGCAGAAGCAAAGCTGAGCAAGGAAAGTTGAAATCGAGGAGAAATTTATGAGGCCCCAATTGCAGCTGAGAGGGTGTGCACGGAGCACAATGGAGGGATATAAGAGCTCTCTGAGATGCAGAATAACAGGAAATTGTGAGCAGAGCAAAGGGCAAAGGTGAGACAGGATGGGGAAAGTCGAGAAAAAGTACCCGATGGGGGCAGAAGCTCTTTTATGGACTCAAATCTACTCCAAGGTCTGGGATTTTGATGAAGATAGTTTACCTTATCATTCCTTTGGAAGAAACACGTGTGGGCAGCCCTAGACAGGAACCAAGTTACAAACAGAGAATTTTTCTCAGGCTGAAAATCAAGGTCAAACTGGAGAATATATACACCCAGGTGGAGAATCTGGCTCCTCTGGCAGAAAACAGACAATTGGTGTTTGGTTGTACTGCTGCTCAGAGAGGTGAAGAATGGGAACTCAGGACAGTGAGGGGGCCAGGATCCTCTGGCCAGTACCAAGGGGCCAGCTGTCCGGGGGCAGCAGATGAAAGACTCAGAACAGGCAGTGAGGAGGGATGGACAGAGGACAGGGCAGAGGAAGATTCTGGAAGCAGAACAGAGAGTTCGAGTACGTAAGAATTGACAGAAGAGGAGCAAGGGAAAGAGCACCTACAGTCTACTCGAGGCAGTGAACAATGACGACACAGATCTCCAGGGACCACAGAAGATTTGGGGAAAAGAGAGGAGGAGTGGGCTGGTAATGACATTGGCTTTGGACGGCTAAATCCGAAGAACTCAGGTGAAGTGGTCTAGGAGGGAACCAGACGTAGAAACCTGAGACCTTCTAGAAAGATCAATTGTTAGACAAAGAGGAGCAGTAATGTGCCAGGAGGTGGTAGAAAGAAATAGCAGAGAACAACCATCCTCAAAGGGGATTTGGAGATGTTTTTCTGATGAGTGTTCTGTGAGGTTCCTACTGGCCAATTAAAAACACGAGTGGCCCATGGCAAGAGGGTCATTTCTGGCCGGGGATCAGATAAAATATTTGAGTCTTGTGGTCGCCCTGCTTCCTAGTTCTGTCTTTTGCAAGCAACTGTGTCCCACTGTGTTCTCTGGTTTGACTTGAAACAATCTGTACTACCTGGGGGACCAACACCTCTGTCACCAATCTCAGTGTCCCAGGCTGTCCTGCAAGGATCTGGTTCCCCAAACCCACCAAGGACTCACCTCTTTTCAGACACTTGGGAATAAATATACCTAACATGCAACAAAGCCCAGTATTTTCTTGACTAACACTGAAGAAAAGTACCAGAAAGAGAAACTTTTTTTTTTCTAAGAAGGAGGGAACCCCCACATCATTCCATTGTTTAGTATAAATGACTTTTTTTTTTTTAAAGAGGTGAAATAATTTGCTGGTTGTTTATTTTCTGGTACAAGGCAGAAAACAGTGGGACTTTACAGAAGGCTTCAGTTGCCCTGGCTTATCATGGCATTGGTTAAGACTAGTTTTACATCCTGTAATAGAAAGCAAACCAAAGGGCAATTTGGAGTCACAGCTGTACATTCAATCCATTTTAAACATTTAAAATTTGAATCCCATGGTTTTTTTTTTTGTTGTTGTTGTTGTTGTTGTTTTGTAGAATTGTTTCTAAGGAGAAACTTTCCATGATCCTTGACCAGTCAGAACTATGTGCCCTCTGTAAAAGTTTAGGGTGATACCAGTTTTAAAAAACAACAACAATAAATAAACATAAGGAATACTAATAAAGTAAAGAAAGAAGAATAAAAGAGGGAAGAGAGGATGGAAAGAGTAAGGACTGGGGACTGAAATGGGGCAAATTAAACCCCATACATGTATGATTATGTTAAAAAAAACCCCACTAGTATGTATAATCAAAATGCACTAATAAAAACATTTAAAAAAATTTTTTTTAATTGTATTTGAACATAATACCTTTGTTTTTATGTGGTGCTGAGGATGGAACCCAGTGCCTTGCATGTGCTAGGTGAGTGTTCTACCACGGAGCCACAACCCCAGTCCTAATAAAAGCATATTTTAAAAGTTTATGATAGCCTGGTTCTCCTAATGATTTTGTTAACGTGATGTGAAAGGTTAAAAACTTGAATATTTTCTGTACATGGTATTAAGTCGTGAGCTGGTGGGACTTATGTGACAGCTTATCAGCATCTGAACATACTGGTACTTGCTATCCTGCTAATGAAAATTTGCCTCTGGATTTGAAGCTGAAAAATTCCTGGAATAACTATTGAAAAAAAAAAAGAATCAAAATATGTGGCTTTTTAGATTTGCACTTCCTATGTTAAGAATCATGTGCAAATTGAAATGTCTGTGTACACTGTCTGATGTTCAATACAACCTTTATGGAAATTATGGAAAAAACAGTACCAGGAGGATGCAGGAGGCTGATGCACAGTTAGAGTTATTTATCCCCCTTGCATTACAGGTTAATGAACTGCTTCAATTCAACTCCAGTCTTGCCCACCACCACCTGCCCCTCCCGGCGGAACTGTTAAAGTCTTTGCTTTCTATGGTTACTTTTCCATTAATCTGAGAAACTGTAGACACCACTAAAGAGAATATGGCATTGAAATCATTCCCATCAGCAATGGAAATGGCTAAGATTAGCTCTGATATGTCCACAGCTGTTAAACAAATCAAAAAGGCATTAAATGCAAGTTTGAATTGACTCTGCCAGCTGAGGTAAAGTCATCCACTTCAGTCTGTTAAATGGACCCTTTAACTCTTGGGCTCTTGAAATGCCCGTTTGTGGATTCAGGGTGGTTATATGGAAAACTGCAATCCTGACCCAGTTCTTTAGGAGGAAACGAACTGCAAATCGTTTGTATCCTCCTTGTGAATGTCTGTTAGCATAGAACAGAACACAGATTCAGTGTCCTGGGTGGAAGAGATGGTATCTGAAAACTGGGGGTGTGGCTTATTTGTACAAAACTTGTCTGGTATGTGGGAGGCCCTGGGCTGGAGCCCCAGCACAAGAAAACCAAACCAAACCAAAAAAAATCTCTCAGTGCTTCTGCAATACTGTTGCCACATTCTAGACAGAAAGGACTTGGTGGCTCCACAGACTGGGTAGCTCAGAGCTGCTGGTCTGGGAGCTTGGAGTCGGACTTTGCCCCCTGGTAGCTTCCCACAGCCTACTGCAAACAGAAGCATCAGTCCTGACTGCTGAAAGCACTGTATCACAAAAAACCTGTTTCCTCTGCAGTCATTTGCAGTCATTAAATGAAATGTCTTAGATTAGTGAATGGAAAATGCAAACCATTTCTGACACACCATTGTGCTTTCTCCTCCCTTGCCACAACATACACTGACCTGTGTTTTGCTGCTGGATTTTAATTAGTCCTCTTTGGGATAGAGAAAAAAAAAAAATTCAAGAGGCCTTTTGTGATAGAAGGGAAGAAAACCAAGGCTTTTATTATGGAGCTCCTAACTGCCACCAAAAGAGTTCCAGGCAGGTGCTGTGAGGGACTCGGTTTAGTATGAGATATCCGACCCACTTCCCACACCCCTGAAAAACGACAAAAGAAAACTTTGATCTTTATTCCACAAACGCATCCTAGTGCAAGAATGCCAATACCTGTGTCCACGTGCAGTGACACACGCCTTGCACACTCACGCCTGTGTTTCCATCCGCTGAGAACGGAGCTACACTACAACCTTTATCCCTAGCAACGCACAAGGCAAACTTACAATCGCCCTCCTTTGAGCCACTTCATCCTTCCAGACTTTTATGACAAAGACAGAGAAGCCAAAGTGTGAATACCAGGTGTACATACCTGACACAAAAGTACAAAACCACGGGTCCTGACTTTTTAGGGAAGTCGTGCTCCAGTACTCTTCGATCTAGTTGAAGCCAGTTTAAGTGTCCCCTGGGGAAAACAGAGACAAGTTAGTTAGGGCTCCGAATTTGGCAGCAGTGGTCTGGGTGAGGGTGCAAATGGCGCACATAGGATGGGCAGTCCCCTCGCTGCTAGCACCTAAGTAATGGAAGCACCAAAGGAGTTACCCGTGTGGTAGTGCATCTGGGACCTGACAGGGCGACCAGATCCGGGCGGGGCGAGGCAGTGGAAGGCGGGGCCACAGGTAAGGGGCGGGGCGAAGCAGTGAGAGGCGGGGCCACAGGTAAGGGGCGGGACTTGCTGCCTGCAGCCTCTTTCTGGTACTGATTTCCTCTTCCCCACTGCCTTTGTTCCTGGAGGTCTCAAAGCACACTTGAGAGCTTTGAGCGTTGAGCGATCCTCACACATCCTGGGGTTAAAAGTGCTCTGTAGATTGTTTATTAAAAAATGAAACTTACATCTACCATTGGAGCTCTAGCTATGCCACTCCTTGATATTCATCCCAAATGAAAAGCATTTGCCCATCAAACACAAAGTAAGTGCCTTATGCAAATATTCAGAGACTTAACAGTCACTTCAAAGACATCACATTTGAAGAGATACTAAAACAGTCCCAAACTCAAAACAACCGCATGTTTGCCAAAAAGAGAGTGTGTAAATGAATCATGATTCACTCACATGATGGAATACTATGCAACAATGCAGAGCGAGTTATTGCTATATGCAGCTACATGGGTGAAACTCAAAATAATTATGCTGAGTGAAAGAAGCCTGATTTTTAAAAAGTGTAGACTCTATGATTCCATGTATGTAAAACTCTAGAAAACACAAACTAATTGGTGGTGATCACAGTGGTTGACTGGGGGTGGTACTGAAGGGTACATTTTGGGAGTGAATGACATGTTCACTACCTTCCTGGTGGGGACAGTTCCATGGATGTGGACATAAGTCTAAACTTATTTAATTGTATACTTTAATATATGTAGTTTATTGTATGTCAGTTGTAATTCATTAAAGCTATTTAAAAAGTGAACCACAGAGATAATGGTGATACATAGATCCTTTTGAGACAGACATTCAATGACTCATTCCATAATTAATTATGTAATTACTATTAGCAGTAAGACCATGCATTATGAGAACATATATATAGTCTGGGGATTGGAGGAACACTTCCTGGTTTTTGAGCTAAAATTGGAAGAAAGAGCATAAGTGGCCTGGTGAAGGGGAAGGGAAATCACTTTCTAGGCTGAGGGACTAACATGTGCAAAGGCCCTGAGGTGGGAAGGAACCAGTATCTGTCATGTGAGTTGTAAGGGGTGAGATTGAGAGGTCCTTGGAAGCATGATGTGAAGGTTGGTCTTTGGACTCCCTCTTTTAATTAAGCCAACACCTGTGGCATTGGGGATGCCATTTGGATCTGCCACAAAGTAGAGTCCACCTGAGGGACTCAGACCTCTATCTCTTCCTAGGAATCTCTATTTGGGGAAGAAAACAAAACAAAACAAAAACTTCCCATTAAAATTAGGACTAGAAGAAGGGTCAGGCTGACCTCTGACCCTTCTGGCTCCCTTCCTGGGCACGCCTCCATGACTGTGCTTTCCAGTCTGCATTTCTTTTCCCTAACAGAATTCTTACATCTGAAAAAATTCAGGAAACCTATCACAGAAGGTCAAGAGCATGTCTGATCAACTGGAAGATGTCAGGAAAATTATCTGAGGAGGATAAGCTACAGCCACTCACTTCCTGCCTCTGAAAATGTCCCCCAGACTCTCAGGGTCTTGCTGAGCCTCTGGTGAGTGGCCATGGGTGTATTTGAGGCCAGCTGCTTCTCCTGACTGGAGCTGGAGACTCTCCCTTCATCCTCTTAAATCCACATGTTAACCACAATTCAAGCCTGAGTTCAGTCTTCCTTTTAGTGAAGACTTCATTGATAGTCTGTTATGGTTTGGATCTTAAATGCCGCCCAAAGCCTCATGCTCTACAGGTGTGGTCACCTGGAGAGGTCATTTGGGAGGAAGCAGAACCTTTAAGAGGTGGGGCTTAGGGGAAGGAAGTTAGGTCCTGGGGGGGTGTTGTGGAAGGGGATCCTCTGACCCCTGTTCTTTCCTCTCTTTCTTCGCTTCCTTCCTGGCTCCCATGAGGTGAGCAGCTGTGCTGTATCATATGCTCCCTGTACCATGATGTTCTGCCTCACCACAGGCCCAAGGCAGCAAGGTCCAACAACCATGGGCCGAAACCTCTGAAATTATAAGCCAAAATAAACTTTTCCTCCTTTTATGTTGTCTTTGTCACAGTGACAGAAAGCTGATTAACACGTTGCCTAAGCCCAGGGTTCATTTTAAACTTCTCCAGAGCTTTTGGTTTGTGTCATCTACAAGGCATTTAGCTTACTCTTGAATAATTAGATATGCTAAAAAATACAACTTGACTCTCCAACTAGGTTCTAAGTTTTCCCTATTAAAAAAGAAAACAAAAAAACCCTTACTCAAATCCTAGCATAGTGCCTGGTGAATACTTGGGCTCTAAAGATGTATTTGCTCATTAGCTGAAGGACTCCCTACAAGAACAATTCCTTCAATGTCTGTGTCATCTCACAGATTTCTTTTTTTGTTGTTATTGTTGTTGCATGATATCACTTGTATTATCACAGATTTCTTGATGGAGGGTCTAGTGGGAATAGCCTTTGCATGAGCCTCACAAGAGAAATCTTGGCCTCACCCTTGGACTAGAATGATACAGAAGCACAGTGACTTTTCTCTAGCACACAACTCAAGGCAGAAGGAAGACCTGGGGACAGAAAATTCCACACACGCCTTTGAGACCAGCCAATGGTCCAGACTTGGGAAATCCTCACCACACCCACAGCACATTACTGACCACATAGGTTGCCAGGGACTAGACAGGGATGTCTGGGGACTGCCATTCACAAGGCAAAGAACCTCAAGGTGGGGATGTGTGGCCTGAGGAACCAGAGACCCAGGGGTCATTGGATACCACCCTGTTGGTTTTGCTCACTGCTCATCCTTCATTTGTGTTAGCAGAGGACAAAGACACAGATTCCCCTGCTAAGATTTTATTCCTCACATTAAACTCTTTAAAAGATTGACTTTTTTAGCAATGGATTTATTTACTGAAAATTCCTTTGTTCCTAGCTGTGGATTGGTTTAGAATTTATGAAGCAATTAAATGACCAAAAAGTAACACACACACACACACACAAAAAAAAAAAAAAAAAAAAAAAAAAAAAAAAAAAAAAAAAAAAAAAAAAAAAAAAAAAAAAAAAAAAAAAAAAAAAGGATACAAAACAAAGAGAACAAAGGGGTGGAAATCACCCTAAAGTGAACAGTTAATATCTGAGGAAAAAACTTGACCAAATTGTGTTGTGTGCATGTTTGATATTTAACAAACAATGAATTCCCATTCATCATTGATTGTGATGCACCAATAAAAAAAAAAAAATGACCTTCCTTTCTCCACTTCCAGTATTTCAACTCTCCAACCTCAATTCTGTGAGGGATGGTAGGTCACACATACCTTCCAGCTCAGGTAGCGGATGGAGAGGCCACTTCCTCGCACCCATCTTTGGAGCCTCGGGAGGAAGGAAGTCGGCCCCCTCTGTGAAAAGTCTGTAAAAGTCTCTCTGATGATACCCTTGATAAAGGGAAAGACTGAGGGACAAGTGGACTCATTTAAGGTCCTTTAGGGTGATTGTCCACTATTTGGAAAAAGCTAAAAGATGTGTTAGAAAGTAATGTAGAGACCATAATTCTGGGGCCACTGGTTTTGATGGCTGTAAGATTTGTTAAAATACTGTTTTCTGCTCATTCTATTGGGTATGAAGTCTCAATTCCTACAGCAAGGAGGGCTGCTGTTTCCTCCCTGGAGAGGGCTTTTTCTGTCCTATTGAACAGCTTCCAGTCCTGGTATCTAGGGCTCCCTTCAAATCCCTGTTTTGTTTCCCTTTGAGTTAGGGTGGGGATGAAGAACAAAGAGGCAAAGAGGGTACTTCCTCTGCACAGTTTAACTAAGAGACTCTGGATGGCTTGGTTTTCATGATTCCCATTGATTTTTTCATTTCAGAATGCCCATTAGTGTCTTTGCCAATAACAAAACAAAAAAAAATAAAATAAAAATAAAATATAAAAGGTGTCCCAGCAGATGCTCAAAGCATTTTTGCTATCACCTCATTGATAACGATCTTCGAAGTGATCAAGTTATTGTTCATTTAGTTTATGGCTATCATAAGTCAAACTATTGGGTCAGTGATAAATATGCAATTGCTTCCGGGCAATAGAAATTGGATGCATTTATTTAACAGATTGCTTTTAGCTACTACCTATAATACAAATAGATTTTTAGGTCAAGTGCTGACACCTTCAATAAAGATGGCCTCGGGGAGTTGTGTTTATAGAGTTTCTGGAGGGTGGAGGTGCGTGATAAGTCTGTCTGCACCAATCCCTTCTCGGGACCTGGGGGGAGAATGCTTCTGTGCACTTTTTAGATGTTTTCATTGTAGAAAGGTTATTTCATATAGAATGAGCTTCTACAGAAAGACAAAGCAAGGATGTGAAATTCTTAACAATGACACTGGATGGAGGTGGAGTGGGGCGCCCCTCAAATGCAAGAATGTTTAGCTGTTTATGTCATTAAGGACAGCCCAGGGATACCAATTTAGCTAGAAATCCTCAAATAACAGAGGAATATCAAAGTAGAATGTGTTCTGGGGAGACCAGATTACTAAATCACGGACTCCTGGTTTAATTGGAATTTCTGGCATAATTTTTTATTTATTGAGGAATTGTTGGCTTCATTATGTTGTCTTAAGGCTGTTTTAAACGTTCTCTATAACATTTCTTACACCGTGTCTTATTAATTTACCTCTTAAACTACAAACAGGCTCAACAAAGGCCAGTTATGTCTGTCTCTCCAGGGGTTAATAGTGAAAGTTAAAATTAAATTTAAGAACTCAAATGCAGGGCTGGGGTTGTGGCTCAGCGATAGTGCGCTCACCTAGCATGGCGGAGGCC